AAACATTAAGAAATACCTTAATGAAAATTTAGAATACGAGAAACAAAAAGAAAAGGAAATGGTTTATTACAGAGCCATTGTGATGCTTGCTGAGAAACTGGTCACAATAAGTAAAAAAGAGAAATTGGCCACAACAAGTCAAAAAGAGAAACCTTCGAATTTTGAAAAGAAACTTTATAAGGAAATTACCAAGCACAATAAAAAGGAAGTTAAACTTGAAGATATTCTTAAAAATATTAAGGAAGACGAGAATAATCTCATTAAGTTTGCCAATAATTTTGAAGACAAAATAAAAAACAAGGATACTGCTGACGGAATTTCAGATGAAATCAAGAATAGCGATATATATAAAAAATATAAAACATATAAAACAGAAAATGATGATGAAGCAATGCAACTCGTCAAAAAAATTCTTTACAAGGATTGTGATTTTAATGTATATTTAACAAAGCATAATATGAAGTTTCTTAGCTTTAGAAAAATACATAGATATAATATTAAAGAACACTTTTGGGAGCTTTTTCAAAAATTGGTATTTAGAACAAAAAGTGAACTTTGGTTTAAGATAGAAGATATAAAATTAACTCAAAGACATAATCATGAAATCAGGCGTCTCTTATGTGGATTGGAACATGATCTCACCGACATTATCATAGAAGGTGACGAAAGAAATCAAGAGCTTAAACATCAAAGGACAACAAACACCGGAAGTCAAGGGACAACAAACACCGGAAGTCAAGGGACAAACACCGGAAGTCAAGGGACAACAAACACCGGAAGTCAAGGGACAAACACCGGAAGTCAAGGGACAAACACCGGAAGTCAAGGGACCAACTCCGGAAGTCAAGGGACCAACTCCGGAAGTCAAGGGACAAACTCCGGAAGTCAAGGGATAAACACCGGAAGTCAAGAACAAACATCTGAAGTCGAGGGATAAACGAGGGATAAACACCGGAAGTCAAGGGACAAACAAATTGTATAAAACTAGTTAACTAGAATTATTTATTGTGCGGATCTTAGGCCTGTGTAAATTTTAAATGCAAAAAATGTTATTGATTGAAGAAAATTATTAGGATAAAATTTTATTTGTATTCTTAGGTCAGTGATATTTAAAATTGTTATTTTAAGAGAAGCTACTATTAGATCGGGTGTATTTAAAATTATTATTTTTGGACAAAATATTATTAGGTTGGGTGTATTTAAAATTGTTATTTGCTAGGCAAGGATTTATTATATTTGCTACTTTAAAATTGCGAAAATGGTATTTATTGCAAAATAGGATATTATATTTTGAATAAAATATGATTACATTTTAAATTAGTTAATGAAAAAATCTTCAAATAGTTATCGATTGGCTCGTAACCTCTTGTAATCCTTATCGTTCTTTATGGCATTTAAATAATTTGTTATGAATAAAATTTGTTTGCACTTCTTCTTATTGTCAATTTTTCGCTCTTATTTGCATAGTTTATTCCCATTATTTATTAACTAGATAGCTGCGCGACGTTATCGCGCAAAACCAGGAACGGAAAGTCTAAAAAAAAAAAAAAAAAAAAAACTGTTAATTATCAACAT